TATAGTACTCTTGGGGGTACTAGGTCCTCCAACCACTTCTTGGCCTAAAATTTCTGCCATCATAGGAACTCCACACTTTGTCTCAGCCTCCCCTGTGTCCCAGAGGAAGGAGAGCTGTCGTTACCCCAGGGGAGAGCGGAGGGCTCCTTCTCTCTCAAAGGCCACCGCTGCCATCAGCGGACTGGTCCTTGGCCCTCTCCTCCTACAGCAGATTGTCTGGGAGCAGGGGGAGCCTGTCTGAGCCATTTCCGACTCTGACCTCATGGTTTGTTCTTGTACTTCCCCAGAAACACTACTTCCCCATCAACTACAGGGTCAGCGTGCCTTATGAGGGGGTGCTCAGAATGGCCAACATCACCAGGCTGGTGAGAACTCCTCCTGGGATGGGAGACCCCCTCCTGGGCTGGGAGACCCCTGCCTCCTGGGACACCCCATGGACCCAGCCTGAGAAGCACGTTGGTCTTGGCAGGTCCTGCTGCGAGGGGCCTTTCCCAGCTCTGGGACCAAGCCTGCCCTTGGCTGAGGCCCCGAGGCTGCTCCTTGTTTACCATGGCTGCCTGTGCTCTGCTCCCTTCGTGGGGCCGCGTGGGGTGGGGGGTGATCAGAGCAGTGGCAGGGCGGGCCGGGAGGCACATGTCTGCTGGTCTCAGTGATCTCTCCTGTCCCCGCAGCAGAGGGCGCGGGTCAGCCAGCGGGAGCTGCGGTACCTGTGGGTCTGGGTGAGCCTCAGCGCTACGGAGTCGGTGCAGGAGGTGCTGCTCGAGGGCCACCCGTCCTGGAAGTACCTGGAGGAGGTCCGCACGCTGCTGCTGGACGTGCAGCAGAGCCTCACGGTGAGCTGCGCCCAGCTGCGTGCGGGGCGGGGGACGCGCATGCGCGCATGGGTGGCGGCCAGGGATGGTTGAGGTGTGAACACGTGGAAAGTTACAGCGTGTCCTAAAGGGCGTGGGAGAAATGAGAGAGGAAGACAGGGCCAGTGCCCGGTGGGTGGCCTTGGCTGGGGGCAGGAGAGGCTCTCTCTTGACCTGGGATCTTGGCCAAGTCATCAATCCCTCTGGCTTTGTTTGTGGAGGCTCCTCTTGGGGGAGAGGAGAGGAAGCACGAAGAGGCAGAGGAATGAACACAGGTTTTGGGGTAAGGACATGCTTATTTGTAAAGGTGGATACATGACATCCTACGTTTGTTAAAGTCCACAGCTCGTACAGTGCAAAGTCAACTATGGGCTTGATGTCTTAAGAAGGTTCCCGATCATGGCCTGCCTGGCAGGGTTGATATGAGGCCTCTATAAAGCCGGCAGCCTAGGGTTGCAGAATCAGTGTGAGCCCCTGCAGGCCGTGGGTGTGCTGCGGGACCCCTCCCCGCCACCCCCATTTTGCCCTAGTCCCCAAGTAGGAGCCTGCCCCGGGAGCCCCACCTGCTGCCCAGCCAGAGCTGGGAGCTGCGGGGGACCCTGGAATTTAGGAGCCCACGCCTGCTGGGAGTTCTGGGGAGGCTTTGGTTTGGGCGGAGGCTCGGAGGCCCAGTGGTCTCCTCGGTGGCTCTCCGGTGCCCGTGGGCAGCATTAGTTGGAGCTGACTGAAGAGACAGTTTTGCATCCTTGGTTTTCCTCGAGAGAGCCCTGACTCTGAGCTCTTGGGAGCTGTGGAGGAGGTTGGGGGCGGGCTGAGGCTGGGGGCCCGGGCCCCCCAGGTTGTTCACATTTAACTGGCTTTAAGTACATCTTCATTCTCATGGAGTTAAGGGTCTGTGCCCCGCTCCGAATATGCCCAGCATCCAGTGGGTATTCGGCTCTTCCTGCCAGGGACTGGGCCATGGGGATGGGCGCCTCCTCTCTCCTGCCACGCTCACTGCTCTTTCAAAGCCTTTGTAGACTGTTTTTTTTGAGTTGCTGTGAACAGGACTGCTAACTGGTGGAATAATACAGAGGTTCTCCTGCCACAGGCCTGGGGCCAGAAACCCTGCACTCGGGGTGGCAGCAAGGCTATGCTCTCTCTAAAGGTTCTGGGGAGGAGGGACCCTTCCTGCCTCTTCCCTGCCTCTGCTGGCCGCTACTGCTGTCGGCTTGTGGCCACATGTCCTTCACGTGGCCTTTCCCTCGGGTGCCCCCTCTTACAAGGCCGCCAGGCACTGGATTTGGGGCCTACCCTACATTCATACTGATCTCATCTGGAGATCCTTAATTATATCTGCAAACGTCCTGTTCCCAAATATGGTCACGGTCACAGGTCCCAGGGTTGGACATAGTTTTCTTGGAGGGGGAGGTTGGGGGAGGGGCAATTCAACCCAGTATACTACCTTGAGGACGGTCTTTCCCAGGCTCAGGCCCTGCATCTCCGTTCTAGGCCATGTCCCCTGTACCAGCTCTGGCCCCCTGTTCCGTCCCCGGGTGTGCCTGCCTGCTCCCCAGTGTTCCCTGTCGTTGCATACGGTGGACAGAAGCACCCTGAGCTTGGAGCCGGAGACTGGCCTGGCCAGTATGCCTGGCACCCAGGTGTCCTCATGAGGGTCCCTTGTCTTGTTCCCTGCAGGCAGTGCAGATCTTTGACTCCTGGACAGTCTCCTGGGCCCAGGACCCCTTCCTTATGTGCTGGTGGCCAGGCCTGGGCTGGGACAGCAGGGATGTCCCCTACTTTCCCCCATCCCGGACTGCTTCCTGCAGTCATTTTTCCAAAGATGGAAAAAGAGGAGCCTCTGTGTGGGGCTTGGGTGAAGCGTGTCGAGGTACCTTGTCGCCTGCAGGAAGCAGTAGAGAAGTTACCCATAGGCCTTCTGGTCACCGTTAGTCCCCTTCCTCCGGGGCTGGAGCAGCTCCAAGCAGGGCAGTTTCCAGGGTTCTCCTGGGATGTGGCTCTGCCTCTTCCCTGGGGTTGGGGCGGTGGTACCCATGGTCCTGAGGGCCTCCTCCCTTCCAGGATGTGGAGGTCGGCCCCAAGGTGGACGCAACAGTGTCACTCCTGAGTGCCCCGAGGCTAAGCCTGAAGCTGGTGCGACCCAAAGCCCTCCTGGACAACTGCTTCCGGGTCATGGAACTGTTGTACTGTTCGTGCTGTAAGGAACAAGGGGCTGGGGCTGGGGGCTGGACCCCAGGTTTCTGAGCTCGGGTCACTGAGCAGAGCCAGGGCTCTCCTGGGCTTGCCCTCCACTCCCCGGGGCTATAAGGCACTTCTGCAAGCCAAGAGGAGCCCCGGGTATGGGGATGAGAACAATGTGGCGTGGGTTGGGGATGGAAAGGGCTGTTGACCACTCCTGCAGTCTTTTTTGTTCCCCCCCTGTCTCTTGCAGGTAAACAAAGTTCTGTCCTAAACTGGCAGGATTGTGAGGTGCTGAGCCCTCAGCCCCACAGCCCGGAGCCCTCATCGCAGTGTGCGGCTGCCCAGACCTACCCTCTGTCCCAGCGGCCCCCTACCTCCCTCCCTCGCTTCCCAGGATCCGAGACCAGACCCCCGGCTCAGTGAAACTGCTGAGGGCACAGGCAGAGACCTCTTGCCCCGAGAGGCCCGTGTGGTGACTTATATGGGAAAGCTCGAGGTGCTTCCACAGTTCGGTTGAACCTGAGACTTCTCTGGGCCGTGGTGTGGAGCCCCCTACCCGCCTTGAGAGGGGAAGCCCCAGGAGAGTGTTTTTCCTTTGAGGGGATTCTGTGCCTGAGAAGGGCTCAGCTCCCCGCATTCTGTACCTCACCTGGTCTCCCCTGGAGCAGCGGGGGTCTGGGGGTACCTGAGGGGGGACAGAGGTCTCTCCTCTTCCTGCACCACCTGGGCTGCCTACTGGGCCTGGAGGCGTTGCCGAGTGTCTCCTGTGGCCTGCAGAGGCGAGAACTGTGCCGGGCAGGCGGGCGAGCACGGGGAGGGAGGGGGCCGGGCCACACACCCCGTCTTGCCACAATGGATGCTCTTCCAGTTCCTTATATTTTCTATTAAACACTTGCTTGTTTTGTTTCGGTTTGGTTTGCATCTGCAAAGATGAACCCCAGAGGCCTGAGAGCCCCTCCGTGGCCTCCGTGTTCCAGTTCCAGGACTCAGAAGACAGGTGGGCTGGTCGGGCCCTGGGACCTGGGTCTCAAGATTTGGATTTGGAATGGATGAAGCCTTAGCCTGGAGGCCTGGAAATGGTCTTTGAGGGCCTGAGTTCCTTCCACACCTGCCCGAGCTGCCGGGGCCTCAATGAGACGGAGACCGAGGGGCAGAGGGTGTTAGGCTGGTCCTCCTCTGTGCCCCCTGGTCGCCCTCCCTGGCTCCATCTGCCTGGGACAGGGTGCAGGTGTTCAAGAGCATAGGTCCTGGCACCAGACCCGGCTGGTCCTGCCCCCCTGCACGTGGAGCCCGGGTGCCCCTGCCCCAGGCCCGATCTGGGGTGGGCCGGGGCTGGGGCTGCACGGCTGCCGCAGGGGGCCGGTGAGCAGCCGGGGAGGAAGCCAGGTGGACGCAGGGGTGTTAATTACAGTACAACTTTATTAATACTGGAATCTTCACAGTGCATTTGTTACTTGTAGCAGTGACTATTTAAATCAAGGCGGGGGGGGGTGGTGGAGGGGGCAGGGAGGAGAGTATAATTTATCCAAAAACGGACAGAAAGAAAAGAAACAAAATGGGTCAGATGGGATGGGGGGGTTGTGGTGGGAAGGGAGGAAAGGTTGAGTAGGAACCAGGAGCAGAGACCCGGGTGGGGAAATAAATTAAAAAAAAAAAAAAAGGAACAAGTTAACAACAGCACCAGAAAAGTTACTTCAGTCAAAAGACGCTTTTGAAAAGAATATTTCTCTGTACAAAATGGGAAAAAAAAGAAAAGAAACGAAACGAACGTAAAGAAGTTCCCCAAACCAAAGTTTGTGATGCGGGCTGGTTGGCTCGGATCCCGAGGGGGTGGGCCTAAGAGGTGGTCACTAGATGGGAGATAGGTGGTCAAGGGGATGGAGGAGTTATGTACAGCCCTGGGGTGGCTTGGGGGGGAGAAGCCTGGGGGGGTGGCTCTGCCAGGCCAACCCCCCTTCTTGGGCCTCCCAAGTCACCCCCGTACCCCACTGCTCCTTGCCCTGCTCATATCACACACCCTGCATCTTACTCGCTCAGCCCACCCGGGTAAATGCCAGCACAGCCCTGTGGGGAAAGGGCAGTGTATCTGCCTGCCCGCAAACCCCCCACCCCCCGCCTTCCCCAACGGGCCATCTGCTCTCCTGTCCTCTTCAGGCCCTCCCTCACCTGGGCCCTCTCTCAAGATGCCCTAACCTGGGCTCTCGGGTTGGCCTGAGCAGTCAGCAAGGCTGTTCTCAGACCTAGCAACTTACAGATACCATCCTCCATCTGCCCTTGGGAACCTGGGTGGGGTGGGGGGGGGCCTCCAGGCACCAGGGGCCACCTTGGTGCCCCAGACCTGCCTGGCCACCTTGCTTGGACCCCAGTTCCCTGCACAAGAACTACCAGTAGCTCCAGCCTGGTGCTGAGACTCAGCCCCAATCCCTGCTCTCCCGACCCCAGGAGGCCCCCTGCCCTGTGGTCCTGCTGCCCTCCGAGCCCGGCCACCCTCACTGCCAGCCGGCGGGACAACAGGAAGCCCTCCACTCGCCCTAGACGCACCTGCTTCTACCTGCTTTGAGTTGGCGGGACTCAGCACGTGGAGGGGAGGGCACCCCCACCCCGCACCCACCGCCAGCACAGGACCGGACTCCGGGGGGACTGCACTGGGTTGGCATCTCCTCTGGCGACAGAGAGTCAAAGCCAAGCTCCCTGGGCTACACCCCAGCCCCATCCAAGCAGATGTGCTGGCCAACCCCCAACACCTGGCCTTCTCCAACCTTATTTTGGCTTTGCTCCAGAAACTGGAGGAAAAAACAGCTACCCCTTGGCTTTGAGGAAGCAATTTGGCCCTCCTCCTCCTGCCATAGGCCCACCGGGCCACTGTGAGGACCCCTGTCCCTCAGGCACTCTTGGACACCCTGTACGGTCCACCCTGTCCCACCACACAGTCCTGTCTAGTCAGCTCTTTCGCTATCATATTCATAAAAATAACCCCCACACCCTCTACCAAGCTCCAGCCCCTATGCCCAAAGGTGGCCGAAACCGTGACCAAAGTGCCACCAGAGTTAAATTTTCAACGTGCCCATATGAGGGCCACACATCCAAAAGCAGCTCCCGAGGGACCGGCCAGAGGACCCTGTGGCCTGCCCCTCTCCAGCAGCCACACTGCCCCAGCGACGGCACGCTAGGACCTGAAGCCACCTTAGGCGCCATGGCCTTCTCCAAACACGTCCCCAAGACAACGCAGGGCCCTGGGGCTGTGCGCCTCTTCCCTCCACAGGAGGCTGGGCCTCCCAACCTCAACCTGCTCCCCGCCATCCCGGATAGCTTTTCAGTCAAAGCTCACACCTCAGCCGACTGGGCGCCGGGCCCCTCCGCAGACAGCCTGCCTCCCTGACAGAACTCTGGAAGGGGAGAGAAAGGGGAAGGAGGGAGAAGCGCCTGGTCTCCAGGAGAGGCCTCGGGCAGGGCAGGCCCAGAGCAGGGCTCCCCCAGTGGGTGGGGGCGGGGGGAGAGGCAGGGCCTGAGGAGGAGGAGGAGGAGGGGCAGAACAGGCAGGAAACATATAAAACAGGCTCCGGATCCAGTTCAAGGCCTGCAGGCTCCGAGCTGGCGGGCTTGGTTAAGGAAGTCACTTCCCACGTAAATGCTGAAATCCAGGATGAGTGTCTCTCCATCACACGTGACTTAAAAAACAGAAAACCAAAGGCTTGCCTGGCTCTGCTGTCTCCTCGCTGTGCCTTCGCTCTGAGCGGCTGTGGGTCACTGGTCCGGCCACCTGCGTCACACGGGCCAGAGGGCGGGAGGGCGGCGCCATCACAAGATGCGGGGCGCCGACCTGTCGTTGGTGACGGTCCTGCGGAGCCGCACCCCGCGGCGGATGGCCACCAGCATGTCTTCGGCCGGGGGGTCGCCGGAGGCGGCAGGGGGTGGGCTGGGCGTCTCCTCAGCAGGGGCGGCTGCGGCGGCCAGGGCCGTGGGGAAGGGGAACTGGCCCTCGCCCAGGGCGTGGGCGCCCGCCACCAGCTCCCCGAGCTTCTCCACCAGGCTGTGCCGGTTGGCGGCCAGCTGCTGCTGCTCGTCGTCGTCGTCCGCCGCCAGCCCGGAGTAGCTGGTCGCCTCGGGGGCCGGGCTGGCCCACGCCGTGTTGGGCAGGCTCAGCCGCTTCGGGGAGGCCTTGGCCAGGTCCGCGGCCAGGGGCGAGGCGGCCTCGTCGCTGTAGAAGACGCACTCCTCGCTGCCCGCCCGCGTGGGCCCCGCGTAGCCCGGGGAGTCGGGCACGGTGGGCGTCTTCACGGGGACGATGGGCGGCCGGATGGGGATGGGGCCGGCGCTGGAGAGCGCGCGGCGCACGGCGGGCTTGGTGGACGGCGTGCGGCGGATGGTGGCTACGCCGGGGGGCGCGCCCGAGGCGCTGGGCAGCCCCGCGGTGGAGGCCGGCCGCTTGGTCTGGATCAGGCGGCGGTAGTTCTGGGCGATGTTGCTGTTGCGGGGGATGGTGGATGACTTGTCGAACTCGGCCGGGCCCTCGCCGTCTGCGTCCCCGTTCACGGAGTAGCAGTCGTAGTCGGAGCCTGGTGACACGGGATGCGGTGGGCCGGGGCTCGGAAGGCTGGCCGATCCGCCCCGGCCCCGGCCCCAGGGCCTACCTTGGGACGGGATGGTGTCCTCGGAGCACGAGGGCGTGGTGGTCTGCGTGCTGTAGCCGCTGGAGTACTGCAGAGAATCCCGACTGCTCTTCTGGTGCTCCAGGCTCAGGCCGCGGGTCAGCACCATGGCCAGGTCACTGGCGGCGGGGGACACCTCCTCGCCGTGCTGGGGGTGGGAAGACTGCAGGCTGAAGCTGGGCTCCCCGCTGCCCCCCTCAGCCCGGATTCCAGGTGGCTCCCGCCAAGAAGCCAGGGCTGGCCCCAACACCAGTTGCTGGGCCTTCAGGTATGGACCTGGGAGTGAAGGTGGGGCCCCGGCTGGGCTGCCGGAGAGCTGGCGCCTACCTTGGCTGCGATGGTGGCAGGGGACATGCGGGGTCGCGGTGCCTCCTCGCTGCTGGGGCCCAGGGCACCCCCGCTGGCCAGGCCTGGTTCTGTGTCTCGGGGGTGCTCCGCTCGATCCTTTCTCCGCTGCAGGCTGGTGCTCGAGGGCTGCTCGTGGGGGCCCGCCTTGGCCCAGTCCTGCAGGGGGCGGCGGATGGGTCAGGGGGCCCTTGGCCCTGTCATCCGCAGTGATGGGTCCCCTCACTATTGTTGAGGTTCAGGGTTTTCAGGCCCATATGGGGGTCAGGCCCATGATCATGGCCAAGGACAGAGCATGGAGGGTACCATGACCCCTCAGTCCCTCCAGGCCCAGGGGTAGGATAGCATGTCCCAGGAGGGAAAGATGTGTGTTGGGAGTGGCTGCAGGTGTGCCCAGGCGGCTTTTCCTGTGGGGAGCAGGCACCGTGTGCACCCCCCGCTGGTTGACCCTGGACCCTCCCTGCATCCCACTGCAGGTGGGGAGCACTGACCGAGGTGGGGGAGCTGCACTCGCTAACGGACTGGCAGGTTTCCGAGGCCTCTGAGGACGCAGAGCTGGAGGACTTCTGCCATGCAGAGGCGAGCAGGCGGGCGGACGGGGCGGGGAGGCCAGGAGGAGAGGAGAGAACAGACCTGGTCACAGCGCCGGCATGCAGCGGGGCGCTCCGGCTCAGTGCCCCACCCCGCCACCCCTGCGAGCGTCTGCAGCAGATCTCAGCACCCTGAGCGCACACGGCGGGCACCGGCCGACTCTGCGGCCCAGCCCAAGAGCCAGAGGTAGTGAGAGTTCACAACAGGACTTGCTGCCCACGGCCTGGATGTGGCGGGCCAGGGAAAGAGAGACACGAGGGAGGGCGGAGGAATCGATGGCGTCCCTGTTGTGTCAAAAGCACACGCCTGCGGGAAGGAAGGAGTCCGGAGCTCCATCCTGCACGCGCAAAGTGGAGCTGCCTGTCCGCTGTCCACACACAGATGCGACCAAGGCAACCGCATTTACAGGTCTGGAATTGAGGGAGAAGACAAGGGTAGCAGCCACCAATCCACAGCCATGAGACAGAGTAAGGTCAGCCTGGCAGCAGGGGCCGTTAGAGAGAAGGTACAAGGACCCAGGCAGGCCCACAGTCAGTGACTGGGAAGAGGAGGGTCCAGCCAAGGGGAGGAGCAAGGAGCTGCCAGAGCAGTAGGAAGAAAACCAGCAGCAGACGGTGTTACAGAACTCAGAAGGAGCTGCCCCGCGGAAGAGGGACAGGCAGCGGCGCGAACGCTGCCAGGGGTCTCTCAGATGAGGGCACAGAGGCCTCCCTGGAGACTTCAAGAACTAGGTCACAGGGGCACCTGGGTGGCTCAGAGGGCTAAGCCTCTGCCTTCGGCTCAGGTCATGATCCTGGAGTCCTGGGATCGAGCCCTGCAGCGGGCTCTCTGCTCAGCAGGGAGCCTGCTTCCTCCTCTCTCTCTGCCTGCCTCTCTGCCTACTTGTGATCTCTGTCAAATAAATAAATAAAATCTTAAAAAAAAAAAAAGAACTAGGTCACAGAATCGTGGGGGCTGGGAGTCCGCTTTTGAGTGGACCATGTGTGCAGGGGAGACTCCTGCTCGGGGCCGGTGCAGGGATCAGGTGGCCTGGGAAGCCCCCAACTCAAAAGAAGACACAAGAATGAAGACCAAAGCAGCAGGCAGGGCGGACGTAGGACCACGAGGACTCCCTGAGGCACACGCTGAGAGCAATACAGTGACTGGGAGACTGGGGAAGGGCCAAGGTGAGGGGCAAGCCCTGCGATGGCCCGAATTAAGGGTCCAGCAAGAGATGTGCAAAGGGTCCATTATTTGTACCATGCCTGCCCTGTCAAATTCTTCAAATTCTCCTTAATTTAGACCCCCAGATTTTTTTTACAGTTTAGGATGAATCAAGATCACCAAAATAAAAGAAAATAAAGCACGACAGGTGAGGCTTGGACGAAACAAGAAACAAATGTGGATTCACCAATAGAATTGTGAAAGCAGACAAAAACCAAGAGAGAAAGCATTAGGAACCCTCCGTGGAAAAATGCAATGTTAATTCATGAACAAATACTTAGACCGGGGATAGAAAAAACTTCCTTAATCGGATAATAAAGAGTGTCTAGACAAATACCAATATATTTCCCTTGGAGGGTGGGAAAGAGAGAAGGATGCCTACGATCACCATTTCTGCTCAGTACTGGGAATCCTAGCAGAGCGGTGGGGCAAGAAGTAGCAGAAAGCAAAGGGATTGGCAAGGAAGGAAAAAAGCAGTCCTTACTCATCCAAAACGTGATGGTTGTATATGCAGAATTCTCACGAGTCTACAGTGACCAGAAATGACAAGCGACTTTAATAAAATTATTCAATAGAAGATTAATATGCCAGAGAAAAAAACCCAAAATTTTAAATATCAGCAGCCAACAAATAAACAAAAAAACCCCCTATGGAGCTAATATAATTTAAAATACTATCAACAGGGGCGCCTGGGTGGCTCAGCCGGTTGAACTTCTGACTGGATTTCGGCTTAGGTCACGATCTCAGGGTCATGGGGTCCAGCCTCATATCAGGCTCTGCGCTCAGCGTGGAGTCTGCTTGTCCCGCTCCTTCTGCTCCCCTTCCCACTCGCTTACTCAGATAAGTAAGTAAATGATAAGTAATCTTTAAAATGAATAAAACATCATCAATAAATATCAAATATCCCGGAAAAAAAAAAATCCAGTGATAGATGTGGAATACCTTTACGTGCAAACTACGAAACATCACCAAGAGAAGCAAAAGCCAAAATAAGTGGAGACATGAGCAATCCCCAGTCAAAACTCCAGGAGCTGCTGTTACTGTTGTTTTGATGGGAACTGACCAGCTGACATTAAGGGATACAAGGAATTGCGAAGGGCCAAAAATAGACAAGGGCATACTTAAGAATAACAAAGCTGGGGGCTCCTGGGTGGCTCAGTGGGTTAAAGCCTCTGCCTTCGGCTCAGGTTATGATCCCAGTGTCCTGGGATCAAGCCCCACATCGGGCTCTCTGCTCTGCGGGAAGCCTGCTTCCTCCTCTCTCTCTCTCCGCCTGCCTCTCTGCCTACTTGTGATCTCTGTCTGTCAAATAAATAAATAAAATCTTAAAAAAAAAAAAAAAGAATAACAAAGCTGAAAGATTTCTGTTAGCACGTATCAAAGTTTTATATAAAGTGACAATAATTAAGGCGGTATGGTCTTGGTATGAGAACACAAATCAACCAGCAGACAGAATACAGACTCCCCAAACGGCTACAGGTATGTAGGTAACACCTGATTTGTGGCAAAGATGACACTGTAGTGCAGTGGGGGTAAGACACGGCCTCTTCAATAACTTGCCAATTAGATATCTGTGTGGAAAAATGACCCCCACCTCATATTACACACACACGCACACACGTACACAATTCCTGATGAGGAGCAGATCTGGGTAAAAGAGAAAGACTTTTCTAGGGAAATATCTTTGTGACTTTGGAGTGCACAAACGTGGCTCAGAACGCAAAAAGCACAATGTAAAAAATGAATAAGTGGAACTGTACATCCGTTAAAATTAAGAATTTTAGGTCATTAAAAGACTCCATTAAGAGAGTAAAAAGGGAACCCACAGAATCAGAGATCTCAGATGAAGGCGTTGTATCCCTAATATATAAGAAGTCCTAGGAATTAATAAGAAAAAAAACAAAACAAAAACCGGGGCACCTGGGTGGCTCAGTGAGTTAAGCCTCTGCCTTTGGCTCAGGTCATGATCCCAGGGTCCTGGGATCAAGCCCCGCATTGGGCTCTCTGCTCAGCGGGGAGCCTGCTTCCCCCCACCCCCACCCCGCCTGCCTCTCTGCCCACTTGTGACCTCTGTCTGTCAAATAAATAAATAACATCTTAAAAAAAAAAAAAAACCCACCTAGTAGAAAAACGGGCAAAAACGCGAACAGGTCCTTCAGAAAAGAGGACAAAGTGGCCTGAGAAGGTGCTCAACCTCATTCCTCATCAGTGACCTGCACATTAAAAACACAGGGCACTACCAGATGTTCCCCCCAGAATGGCTAAAATGAAAAAGATGTAAAATCACCAAGGGTTGGTGAGGACGAGGAGCAGCCATCCCCCACTGTTAGAGGAGTCTTGCCAGAAATGTGGGACCTCAGTCTAATTATGGGAAGACACCAGACACACCCAAACCGACAGATGAAACAGCTGACTGGTATCAAAAGTATCAAAGTCAGGAAAGAAGGACTGAAAAACCACCACGGATTTGAGGAGCCACAAGAGATCTGACAACTAACTGTGACGCAGGGTCCTGGGCCGGATCCTGCCCTCCCGGGCCAGAGAAACAGGCAACATTTGAGAAAAGACCTTAGGTTCGTCAATAGTACTGTAGCTACATGAGGGGTTAACATCAGGGGAGGCTTGGGAGGGGTAGCTGAGAAGTCTGTACTCTTTCGACCACTTTCCTACACGTCTGAAGTTATTTCAAAATACCAAGTTGGAAAAAAGCCTCAATGGAGAGGTTAAGTTCCTGTGACATGGAGAAAAAGGAAACTGGAAGACAGCCCTGAATAAATGATCCAGAACATCATCTAGAGAAGGGAGGAGAAGGAAAGTGTGAGGATTAAGAGAAGGATACAGAGCAGAATAAATGAGAAGGTTTCGCAACACACGGAATTGGAATCTCAGAGGGAGCTAATAGCAAGAATGAAAGTAGGAATACATAAATAATGGCTGAAAACTTCCAGAACATATGAAAGACAAGAATACAAAGAGGGAGGTATACAAACATATCAAATGAGGTTACGTAAAAACGAAACTGCAACTAGACACAAACTAAAGGGCAAAGATCTTCAAAGTGACCAGGGAGCAAAGTAAGCTCACTCACAAAGGAACAACAATCTGACGGACGGCAGACCTCCCAACCGACGACAGAAGCCAAAACACACATTGGAAAAATACCCAAGTGTGGAGAGAGAATAACTACTACCTCAGAATCGTGTCCCTGGCAATACGTTCAAGAAAGATGACAAAATGACACATGTTTACAGAAAAACAAAACTCAAGAATTTACTACTACAGATCTACTCTAAAAGAACTTCTAAAGGGGGGCGCCTGGGTGGCTCAATGGGTTAAAGCCTCCGCCTTCTGCTCAGGTCATGATCCCAGGGTCCTGGGATCGAGCTCCGCATCGGGCTCTCTGTTCAGCGGGGAGCCTGCTTCTACCTCTCTCTGCCTGCCTCTCTGCCTACTTGTGATCTCTGTCAAATAAATAAATAAAATCTTAAAAAAAAAAAAGAACTTCTAAAGGAAGTGCTATACTTCAGAAAGAAGACTTGAGGTGCAAGAAGAAATAATGAAGAAATGTGTAAACACATGGAGAAATCTAGACAAATATTGTCTGTGTGAAATGATAGTGAAGTTCAGGAAAAAAATGTCATTTGTGAGTGTTATAAAAAAAATAGAGAGTAACATGTAATAGCTTACAAGTTGGGAAGAAGTGGGTGACCAAGTTAAAATAATGATTAAGATCCTTGAATTATTCAGGAAGTGAGACCCTTTGTAAGGGTGTATGGTAAAATTTCAAGGTACCCTGTAAAAGAAAAGAAACACAGTAAAACTTACAATTTAGCAGGGGGAACAAATGGGAAAAAGAAAAACAAATGGCAAGGGAAGAGAAAAAAGAGGCAAAGAAAAAGCAGAATGAATAAAAAGAAAAAAGACAGGAGTCCAAATATGTCAGTCATCACAATAAATATAAATGGACTAAAAATACCGACGAAAAGATAGAGATTGTCAACCTGTATAAAAGAAAACCTAAGCATCTGCTCTTTTAGGAGACTCAACTGAAACATAAAGATACAGTGAGTTTAAAAGCCAAGAGATGGGGAAAATAATATAAATCTTGAACAGAATACAGCTGAGATAGCTGTAGTAACATCCAACAAAAGAGACTTTAAGATGAAAGGCATTATAAGGAACAAAGGATCAACTACATCATGTTAGAAGATTCAAGTCACCACGAAAAGTTGACATTTTAAATGTGTGCGCACTTAATCAAAGAGTCTCAAAATGCACACAGCAAACGCACATGGAACTATATGGGAGAAATGAACAAATCTAAAATTTGTCAGACATAGGTGAAGCAGACAGAAGTGAATGGAAAATGGGTAGAGATGGTCAGGGCAGACAACTCTTTCGAGAAGTTCTGCTGTGGGGGCGCCTGGGTGGCTCAGTGGGTTAAAGCCTCTGCCTTCGGCTCAGGTCATGATCCCAGGGTCCTGGGATCGAGCCCCGCATCGGGCTCTCTGCTCAGCGGGGAGCCTGCTTCCTCCTCTCTCTCTGCCTGTCTCTCTACCTACTTGTGATCTCTATCTGTCAAATGAATAAATAAAAAAAAAAAAAAAAAAAAGAAGAGAAGTTCTGCTGTGAAGGATACTAGGTGGTTGGGGGATAACATGGGGGGAAGGGAGAGCTTTTAAGATGCATGATGCTAGAGCTTGTTTGTGTTACTGATGGGAATGAGCCAGCACAGGGAGAGAGACTGAAAATGTAATGGGGATATCCTTGAGCAAAAAACCCAAAACTTAAAATACTGAGCCCAAATGGAGGCACTAGCCTAGATGGGGAGGAATAGCAGACTGGATCCAAATGCAGTCACTCCTGACACCCTGAGGATAGCCCTCTGGGCAGGCAGCCTGACGTTCTTTTGTCTTCTACTGTGGTCCCTCTGTTTGCCCATCTCACTGAGGCTGCAGGATCTAAGCCTGCTTCTGGGGAGATTTGTGGGGCTCCAGCGGATGACTCCTAGGGCCAGCCACCCCATCACAGTAAGACTATGCAGGGGGAGGGTCAAAAGGGATCAGAGCTGCTAAGCAGCCCCCTCGGGGCTCCCATGGCTGGAAGAAGGCAGGAAGTAGGGAATCAGGAAACGGTGAGGAAGTGGGGCCACAAAAGCCTCCGGCTGATGCCTCTGTGGCCCATGCAGGTGGCTCTAACCTTCTCCACCTCTCCGTAGCCAGGCTGGTCCCCGGTGAGGGGATCCTGGGGACCTCCAGGCCTGTTTCAACAGCTGCAGGCCCTGCAGACACTCCTCACCTGGCTGGTGATGTCGGAAGGCATGGGTGAGGGGGGCTTGGAGTAGGTGGCGTCCTGGGAGACGAAGCCAGAGTCGTGGGACGAGACGCTGGAGAGGCGGGCGGCCGTGGTGGCTGGCTGGGCCAGGCTGCGGTAGCGACAGGTGGAACTGGGTGAGTATGTTTGGGCACCCCCAGGCCACGGGGCTCCGCCACCCTTGGCACCGCTACTGCTGCTGGGGGCACTGGGGGAGTCAGGGAGGGGGACAGCGGCCAGACAAGGAGACACAAGGGTGCGTGTGGAGGAGAGGGTGACAGACGAGGGTGGAGGAAAGAGGTGAGGGGCAAAGGAAGGAAAAGACAATGTCAGACTACAAGTTGTGAGACCTGAGTGCCACAGAAGAGTAGGGTTGTGGGTCGGTGGGGGGTAGGGGTGGGCGGGGGACCACACTCAAGAGCTGGCCCAGCACCTGCCCCTAGAGAACCCCAGGGTTCCAGGGCATCCCTAGGGCCAAGCAGTCACTCTGCTTCCTACTTTGCCATTAACAACCGAGTCACAAAGCATCAAACCCTGGCCCATTTGGGCTAGAACCCAACACAAGTCTGTTTCTGGATCGCCTCCTCAAAGTCTGATTTTTGCCATGAAATCCTAACTGGGTATCTAGGCTGCAGTGACTGTCCGTGTGAGTCCTGGACCCACCATTGTCCTCATCCCCTCCACCTCCTTGACTGTGTCCAGCCCCGTAGCTCACTCCCTCTGTGCAACCACTTCACGCTTAGCCAGTGAAGGCGGCCTTCTTTCTGAACGAGATGCTGAAGTTACCCAGCCCCCACCCTGGGTCACAGGTGTCCTCTGCCATCAACCCTTCCTGCCGTGATAGACACCTACCTGAGGTCCAACAGACCTGGGCCCCCTCCCTCCACAGGAGCTGCTGATGGCCATGCTGGCTTACCTCCTTGCCCAGGTGCCCAGAGGTGGTTCTGGGGAAGGGGAGCCTGGGACAGAGGGGCCTGTCCCAACAGTAACTCACTCTGTGCTCACTGCCCTCCCCACTAAGGAACCTTGAATCTTAGATGTCTCCTCCAAATGCTGTCCTAGTGCTAGCCCTGGAGGTGTCCCTGATCCTGAGCCTGCACCATGATTGAACGAGACTCTGGGGGCCAGCATGGGCTGGGGTTCGGGCAAGAGGCAGTGGCCTTCAGGAACCAGAGCTCAGGAACCAGCCAGGTCGGAGTGTCCCTTCCTGTGGGGCCTCAGCACACCTTCCCAGAAGCATCTGTGCCCCTCCCTGATTTTAGATTCTTACTATCCCTCCACACCTGCCAACAGTCGTGCAGTGCCACAACCAAGGCCTCAGTTTCCCCTTCAGTGAAATGGAGATAACACCATACCTGATACGGTGGTGTTAGGATTCAGTGAAGAAAACGCATAAAGCACTGAGCATGGCCCCTGGCACACCGTGACTGCTCTGTAAAGGAAGCTGCTCCTGCCCCCGCCACCCCGCTTCCTGCTACCACACGCGTGCGCGGGCAACAGCCTCTACACACAGGTACATCTGTCCTCCGTGCTCGCACGCAAATTCCTCTGTGATGCACTTGTGTGAATTCTGGGGCCTGGAAGCAGCTCTTGATGCAGCTTTGCCGGGAGATCCCCCATTCTCTCCTTGGGGGCCCCCGCCTCCCGGCCTCGCCCCTCAACCCCGTCCACCCTGCACTGACCTGCACATGCTGGACTTCCGTGAGCCGGAGCCGCTGGGCGACGATGGGGGCGTCTGGTAGGACCAGCTATAGTCTGAGCCCTTCAGGTCTTTGATCACCTGGACAGGGACAGGGACGGGGTCACTGAAGGGAGGCAGCCTTACTCTGCAAAGACCCTTATTGTGTTCTGGGGGCCTCCACAGAGGACTGGTAGGGCCAGAAGCCCCCCACTCTCTTCCCTGTTGAGAGCCAAGCCTCGGCAAGGGACCCTCCAGGGGAGTCTGAAAGCAGAGCTGCCGGAGGGGGAAGAGGAACATCAAGGGAGACTTGCACCCTCCCCCCCCTGCTTCTCAGGGATGCTGCCCCCTCCTGGGGGGTAGCCACTGGAGAACCAAGTGTCCCTGGGGACTCACTGTCCTGGCAGAGCAGCCCAGAGAGTGACCATGAGGGACACCGTGGGGCTCAAATCTTAGCTCTGCTGTGCCCCTCAGGCAAGTTCCTGGAACCTCAGTGGCCCTGTGAGCAGCCCGTGGTTCCTGTCTTGCAGGGCCATTGGTGGGGGGGGGGGAATTCAATGGGATGGTGTAGAAAGTGCCTGGCAGAGTGCCGGGCACATGGTAGGTGCTGGGTGAGAGCAACGTCATGGGCCTGTCGGGGAGGACCGCCCCTTGTGCAGTGGGAGCACGGCAGTGAGCCGAGCGGGTGGCAAGTGTGGGCAGGTGTGTCTGTGTGCCTCGGACCAGGGGAGGGGACAGGTTTTGGCTACAGACGACAGGAAAGCGTCACCAAGTCTGGCTTATTCAGGGGGAGCCTGGGGGCAGACACAGGGCCCAGTGCCACGGGACCTCCCCACTTCTGCTCTCAGACTGAGGCTCCCACTGGGTCCTGGGAACACCATCCCTCCCCGGGGCAGGTGCTCCTGGATGTTCCACAGTGCGTGTTAGGACGTGTCTGGTCCTCTGTCCTCTTTTTTCCTCTACCGTCCCCAACCAAGGGCGGGCCATCCCCACCCCTGTCCCCAGCCCCAGGCCTGGCCGCACCTGCTCGCTGGCGGGGGGCAGCTTGTGGGGTTCGGCCGTCAGCACCACCAGGTCGTCGATGATGCCCTGCAGGTGTGTGATCTCTCCCAGCATGGTCAGCTCGCCGTTCTGGGGAAGCCGCGGGTCAGACCCACCGGCCCTGCCCATGCCCCCCACCCTGGAGGGACGGGCCTCCCCTGGCTTCTCCCCTCTCACCCAGCGCTGCTCAGGCCTGACAGAGGCTGGAACCAGACACCCTGGGGCCACTGTGACCATAGGTCCGGCCTGAATTAGTGCATCACGAGCTACGAGACCTGCCTTTGGGCGGTGAGCACGCGGCTCTGAAGACGCAGCAGGGATGATTGAGCCGCGGCCTTTCTCAGAGGTCGCGGGATCAACCCTGAGCACGGTCCCACCTCCTGGGGCCTCTGAGTCACCCAGAAGGACTCCCAGCAGCGGCTCCCAAATCCTGATTCTTGGGATATCCTCAGGTTCTTGGAGACCCTTCAACTAGCCCAACGGCAGGGATGCTGAGAACAGCGCAGATTCCGAGGGACCCACCACCACAGGCTGCAGGAAGGTGATGAAGGTGCAGAAGCGCCCGCGCTCCTCGATCAGGGCCCGGCGCACCGCCTGCTTCTCTGTCTCCTCCAGCAGCAGGTACATGTCGTTGACGTCCTGCAGGGCGCTGTCCAGCTGAGGCTGCAGGTCTCCTTTCCCTGGAGGGGCGGGGAGGAGAGGCCGCGCTGGGGACGCCGCCCGGCTCGCCGCGTGTGTGGCTCAGGCCCAGTGGTGCATCCCTGGAGGTGGGGCTGGGCACTGCCACAGGGGTCCGGGGACTGGGGAGGGCAGCCAGGACTCCGGGGCTTGTGCCGGGGCTGGTCCCAGAGCAGGCAGAGAGGACAGACACACACACAGGAAAGACACCAAAGCTGCAAAGCCACCCGGGACCTGGAGTGGGCGGAGCCCACCGGGAGCCACCCTGGGAGCAGGTGTGCCCAGGTGAGTCCAGCAGAGGCCTCCACAGCTGAGACTTCCAGCCCTGGCGGTACCCACACTGCCTGTGGGCCAGAACCCCCTCACCTCACCGGGCACAGGAAGAGGGTGGGAGGAGGACAAAGTAGAGCCAGAGGGCTCAGCTGTAGGCCAGCCCACTGAGGGGGGTGGCCAGGAGAACTAGGGGCTAGGCCCCTGGGGAAGGGAAGGGGGTTTTCTCAGTGTGGGCTCCCACTCAGCTCAGGGAGTGGTGCACAGGGACAGCAACAGCGACACAAAGCAGCAGCGAGAGAGAGAGAGAGAGAGAGGCAAGAGGATGATGGAGAGATGGTGAGACAGGAAGTGAGAAGGCAACAGGTAATGGGGCAGGCCTGGTGGGAGGGGGTAGCCAGGGCCTGTGCCCCCCACCCTGCCCACTCCAACCCTTCTTGGCCTGGCAGACTGACCCAGCAGTGGCCTGGGACTCATCCCTGGCCAGGGGTCCCCGGAGCCCCAGGGGGACTGTGCCCCGGGCCCCTCCCTCGCTGGACCGACCGCCTTCCTCGCTCCTCCTTGGCCTGGAGAGGCTCCTTCCAATGGCCCTGAGCTGGGGGAGACAGACAAATGGGACAAGGACGGGAGGAGCAGCTGGAGGGATGGACATTTGACTTACCAAGTAGCTCTACAGGAAGGATGTGGGAGGAGAAGAGGAGGAGAGACAGAGAAAGAAAGAATGTGTGAAAGACAGCCGGATGGAAAGAGCCACTCCTGGGGCAGGGGTGTGGGTGCCTGGGCCTGTGGGGCCTCCTGCTGCCTCCCTGAGAGGGGAGGGCCTGGGCTAGGTCTGGGGTGCAGAGAGGCTCCCTCTGTCCCACCCAGCAGGTTGGAGGGTCTTGTCCAGGATAGGGTCCCTCCAGCCAGGATGACTCCCTGGGGCACCCCATAGGGTGTGGGGGGTATGGAGTGGGGCCCCGTGGGGCTACGCGTCCATGGGCCCCTGTGGGCTCTACCTTTGCGTGCTTTCTTCTGCAGCTTCAGCGTGTCTGAAGACTTTTTCTTGATCTCATGCCGGGCTCGTTTGTACTCTGCACACGGGGTGAGAGAGGAATGCTATAATGGGGCAGGGGGGGTGGGGTGGGGTGTGTGTGCTCTGCACAACGGGGGTAGGAAGCCCTGGCCCCAGCCCAGCGCCTACCTTTTGCGTGGTCCTTGTCCAGCTGGTTGGCCGACTTCTTCCAGTCCTCGATGCGCTCCTGCAGCGGGTTGATAAGGCTCTCCAGCAGCGCGCTGTGGGAGGCGCGGGAGGGTCAGGGCCACCAGCGGGGTCTCCCTGCGCCCCCCTGCCCGCCCGCCGGTGGCGCCCACTCACTTGGTGAACTGCCGCAGCTTGGTCTCGATGCTGCGGTGGCGCATGCACATGCGCGTGAGCGCCGAGCCAATGTCCCGGGTGGCCCCTGGCGAGGCAAGTGCGCAGCTTGGGAAGGGGCCCGCTGGGGCATCTGCAGTCCCAGCCTCGGCCACGAGGGGGCGCACCGGCCCGCGAAGACCGAGCTCGCAGCCCGTGCCCCGCCCCCAGCATTGCGCGATCCCGCGCTGGGATCCCGCGATCCATTGAGGGGGGATTTGGTCTGTTCTCAGTATTTGCTGAGACTCTCCGTGCGGGACCAAGGCCCTACCCATCCCGGCCGTGCCTGCCTGCTGCAGCTGCGGGTGGTCTGGTGGTCAGGCCGGCACGAGAGACCATCGGAAGGGCCTGCCCAAATCCCCTCCAGCCTTTGCGGGAACCCCCTCCGGATGCCCAGAGGCAGGCGTGAGAGTGCGAGCAAGCGCCCGCTATCTTGGTTCTCAGGGCCCCGGGTCCTTGCTACTTGAACTAGAAGGCAGAGGAGACATCAAGGCCAACAGGGGCTTAGCTGCCCCTGCGTGCTCTCAGACGGACAGATGACAGCGGGGGTCAGACGCAGGGTACAGAAGGCTGAACCACTGTGGCAGAGGGATCGAGCTGATCGAGGAACCTCCGCTGTAACATCCCTATCACCGTTCGCCCACTCCTGCTTGCATGCCATTAGTGATAAGAGGCTCACTCTCTCCACGACCAGCCTATTCTATTAGGGAGCAGAATTCAGGGCCCCAGCTCTCGGCCCAGTGTCCTCTCCCTGGCTCACATTTCGCTCAGCCTTTCCAGCCTCCAAGCCCAACCTGGGGCAGACCCAACCTCCAGCCACGCCCCCTCCCCACCTCGGGTGTTGGTGGCCATATCTGCCACTTTCTGGAAGGCATCCAAGAAGGCCACAGCAGCCAGCACAGTGGTCCTGGGGAGATGGACAGTGGGACAGTCTGTGGGTGAGGTGTCCTCTCCTCTGCCCGTCCCCTCCCCAGTGGGGGCACCCTCAGGAGCCTCACCTCAGCTGGGAATGCAGCTTCGTGGCCTTGGAGTTGAAGTCCTCCCAGATGGGGTAGGAGCTCTGCAGAGGAGATGGAGAGGTAATGAGACTGAGGAGGCTTGCAAGGCTCTACCTGGGCTGGGCTCCCTACCTGCCTCTGTCAGGATTCTGGGCAGTTTCTGAGACAGTGGTCCTGCCACCATGGAGACGGAGGCTCCTGGGCCTTCTGGGATAACAGAGGACCAAGGACAGAGCCATGGGGCATAAGGAAGGCCTGGCCATGGGAACGACCGCCTTTGCTCATCCCTCCCTCCCTGATAGGAAGTCTGGCCTACAGTCTACAGTGGCCACCGTTTCGGCCTACATCCTCCATCAGGGGAGACGGAAACAATAAATGGCAGGTTCTGTCCCCTCAGGGCTCCCCTGGGTTCTGGTAGGGACTCTGGGCTGAACTGCATGATGGGAACCATGTCCCTGTGGATACAGGGGGTAGTCCACACAGCAAGGTGGGGGCAGAGGGCCAGTGTGCACCAGCAGGGCTCAGGGATGCTGGTCTCAAACTGGGGCCTCTGGAGGTCCCCCCACCCTGGGCCCCGGGAGCTGCTACTGGCCCAGACACCCATCCATCCCAGGCCGGCAGCAGTGGCTCCCAGGCCCGGGGAGCTGTGACTGCTCCAGGGCCCAGCCAGCCTGCCCAGGACAGCCAGGCCCCAGGCTGAATGGGGCCTTGTGCGGCCAACAGAGCCACCTTTCTCCACCCCCAGTACCCCTCCCCTCCTGGGGACACAGTGTGGCCTTTATCCCAGTCTGGCCCAAAGCTCTGAATTGGGAGGGGGTTTCCCAGTGGGGAGACTGGGCTCTTGGCGACCAAGTTGTCCAGTCTGATCAAGGGGCTTTTCTGGTTAATGCGCCCTCCCATGGTGGCTGGGTCCCGGAGAAACCTCGGCCCTGGCCTGAGGGCCCTGTGGTGGCCTGGATGCTTGAAGGGGAGCCCAGGGCCAGCAAAGCCCCGGCCCCAGAGGGCGTCTCCCTTCCATGTAGGCTGGGGTGCTTGGTGCTGGGGAAACAGGAAAGGCAGAGACCCCAGGCCTCAAGGCTTCAGAAGGAGGCTCTGTCAGACTGGAAGCCAAAGGTAGGTTCGAGATGGCCTCTCCAGCTGAGGACAGCCTGCAGGGATGGACAGGAGACAGGACAGCTTCTGACGGCCTTAGAAACGTCCTCTCCTCCCAGCCCAGCCAGTGCCCAGAGAAAGCAAATATTTGAGAAGTTCACACGGGCTGGCGCAGGCCAGGGGAGGCTGTGGGTGGGCTGTCTCCATGTGCATGCAGTTCAGGGTCAAGGAGCCTGGTAGGTTGTCCCTGGCAATCCCAAGGAGCTGACCTTCACCTTGGCACCCCCAAGAGTCTTCTGAAAGGTGGAGCGCTCACATCACCTCAACATCCCAGCCCCAAAGCCTTGCTAAGACCCCCAGGGAGAGGGGCCAATGCCGAGGAGGCAGGGGTCCAGGGGCAGGTGTCCTGACCCCCAGGACACCTTCTCAGCCCCTCGGCAGACTCTGGGCAGGCTTGGAGCACAAGGGATTAGGAGAAGCTGGGGACAGACCAGTCATCTCCCCAGCCTCCCGCTAGCCAGGCTCACTTCTTCCCAGACTTTCACCCCGTCAGCTTTCCCAATGGGGAGGGGACAAGACACGGGGTGGGGGAGGCCTGAGGGGCCCTCAGCAGAAGGACAGGCGCACCTTGGTCTCTAAGGACTGGGGCTCGGCCCCCACTGGTAGGTGATTCATAAAGGACCCCAGAGATGTAGAGATGGTGGTGGTGGGACGGCTGGAGCAGCCAGTGTCCCAAGGGAGGGTCTTCAGGGTTCATCTGGGCCCAAGCCCTCACCCTGGCCATCCCCGGGTCGTCAGGCTCCAAGACTCTGGGTTACCACTCGCTGCGGTGACCGCTGCTGGCCGAGCGCTCGCCGCAGCTGGGCACTGTGTGAAGCCGTGGGAGCGCGTCGGGTCCTCAGCACGGCCCCGCGAGATAAACACGACCGTCACCCGCATTCTGCACGTCAGGAAACTGAGGCTCAGAGGGATTAACTGATGGGCTTGAGCCCTGCGGATGGCAGGGACAAGCTCTGATCCCATGTCTGACCGGTCACTACACCCACTTCCAGGGTACAGAGTGATGAGCATCTCGGAGCTGTGAGGGGAGGAGGGGACAGGAACTGCAGGGATGGGAGAAACACCCACTCTGTCCCCAGTGCTTGTCACTAGAGGTGCTCAGGTGGATGGCACGAGACTGACGTGGAGGTGGCCGGGACTCCTGGCCCTTGGAGACTCGGTCTCTGACCTGGGGGGGTTTTGGTAGTCCTGGCTGTGACCCCAGAGAGAGGGCTTTCTGGGTGACCCTGGACCAGGGCTCCACTCAGGGCTTCAGTTTCCTCACCTGTCAAATTGGACTGGGAACTGCACCTACATCTCTGGGTCCCAGTGGAGACTCCAGGAGGCGCTGTAGGAGAAGCACTCAGCACCTTGCCCAGTACAGGGCTCAGTCAGTGCTGGCTGAAAACAGGGAACACAGGATCCCCGCCTGTCTGCGGAGGCCCCTCCCACAGGGCAGGGCCTATGGGAGGACAGGCAAAGTTTATGGGCCCATTTTCTGGATGGTTCAGTGCCAAGTGGAGGCCCCCCTCGCTCTGTTGAAGGCACTTTGCCCTGTCCTGCCATCTCGGGCAAGCCTCTGTCCCTCTCTGAACTTCAGCGGGTGGCCTGGCAACCACCCAGTGGGCATCTGAGCTAAGTGAGGCACAGAGGCAGGGAAAGCTCCCGAGCACCCCACCCCAACCCTGACTCAGAGGCCTCTTCCCAGCCCTCCAGCTTCTAGGTGCAGCTCAGGGTCTCCGGCCTCCAGGTGCAGCTCAGGACCTCTGTCCTCCCTCCAGGTGCAGCTCGAGGCGGCTTCCCTCCACCTCTGCTGCTGACCCCAGGCCGGAGCTGGGGCTTCCAGAGGAGCTGCTATGGGGCTGTGGACAGGCCTCATGGGGCAAGCTCGGTCTCCCCAGCTCAGCCCCCTTCCTCTATGCAAGCCCCCGCTGCTTCTGGGGCTCAGACCAGTGAGGGAAACAGCCAGAAGCTGCCCCCCCAAACCAGGTGATCAACCTCCAGGTGGCCCAGTCCCCTGCTCTGTCCCTGGCCCGAACACATGCATATGTCCTAGGTACTTGGCATCACCCCAGGTGAAACTGCCACATGTCAGAAAACCCGGCCTGAATCTCTTGCTATATCTCCCTTTTCCTTCTGTCTGATCTCAAAGGTCCTTGCAAATTGCCTGGGGAGAGAGGGACAGTTCTGTCCCTCTTTTCTGAAGAGAGAAGCTGCTGCTCTCTGCAGTGTTAGCAGAGAGGCTGTCAGTGGGAGGAGGGGGCGGGAAGGTCCCATTCTCTGCCAGCCCTGGAAGTAGCGGGGGACAGGTGGTCTGGGCTGTCTGGTCCTAGGCAGGGATCCCAGGGCCAGGGCTGCGATGTCCCCAGGACAGGAGGGCCTGCTGAGGACAGAGAGGGGCCAGGACTTCTGAGGGCTGGTAGGGTGGCCCGGAGGTAGAGTTGCAAGGGATGGAGGTCTCAGGGGAGCACGCTCTGTGGGGTTGGGGGACATCTGTATGCTGCTCACCCTGTAGTTCTCGGTGGTGATGGCCTCAGGCCTCTTCCAGGGGCAGGGATCCAGCAGCTGCCCCAGGGCTGTTCCCTGGGTAGCACTGGGAGCCCCCGGAGGGGCCTGCCTGGGCACTGTGGGGCTAGCTGCACTAGGCACTGTGTGGTGTCTCCTCCTGGGCCTGTCATGTCACCGTGGGATTCTGGGTTGTATACTTGGGAGTGTGTGATAGGGTGGGGGCTCTCTGGAGTTCATGTGCAGAGCCTGGTTCTTTCCCTGCCCCACAATCCTGCCTCAGAGGAGAAAGGCAGGAGCGTTGTTCCCGGCCCCCATCCTGTCACTGGGACTGCAACTCCTCTCTGCCTAGTCAGCCTGGGGCAGCCCTGCCAAACCCTGGCCTCTCTGGGGAGAGGATCTCCCTTGCTCCCCAGATCAACAGAGAGGAGTGAGGTCAGGGACAGAGTCGGACAGTCTTCTTAATGACCTTGAGCCAGTCCCAGGCCTCAGTTTCCCCACCTAATGAGCCAGTGGTGGGCCAAGAGTTGGTGGCCTGCTCCTGTCTGGCCTTGGCCAGTCATGGGGGGGTGCGGGGTTGGGGGTTGGTGAGGGCCTGGGGTGGTAGTAGGCTCTCCCTTGGGGATCCTCCAGAAACCCAAAGCCTCTCCCTTCCTCCTTCCAAGGTGAGAACAGAGGCCTTGGGATGCAGGGACAGTCAGCCTGGAGACCTTGGAGTCCTGCAGCTTCCTAGGGCCTGTTTCAGGGTACCTGGGCAGGGGTGTGTTGGGGTGGGGGCATGCAAGAGTCGCAGGGTCGAGCGCCGAGGCCGGCGGTGAAGGAGTTAACGGTTTTCTGCCTTATTATTTTTCCCTGCTTTGGCGGTGACAGCATTGTCTGGGCTCCAGGGCCGTCGGGGGGCGGGGGGGTGGTGGTGGTGCGGAATTGGGGCCGCAGAGGGTGCACGGTAGCGGTAGGGGGCGGAGGCCGGCGAGACCCGGGACCCATCACATTAGGACCGTACAGTCGAAACCCGAGCCAAACCTCATTCATGATTTGGGGGCTGGGGGCACAGGGAGCCCGCGTGTGAGCAGCCTCCGGTGGGGACCCCACGGGGGCGCTACGGCCCGGCGACCCCGGGCAGAGACCCCGGGGCGCCGCCTGGACACCCCGACACACGAACACCAGCACCCCTCAGACGGGGGGGACCCCGAGACCCAGGCACACAGCCGACACAGGCCGGACGCGTTCAGACAAGGACACACACAGCGCAGCGCGCGCACACAGCGGGGCCCGAATGCCCGCCGCCACTCGTCCCCAGAGGGACCCGCACCCGCGCGCCCGCCGGGCACCCGGCCCCGCCGCACCCCATTACCTTCATGTCGTTGACGATGGCCTGGAAGAGCCCGCCCAGGGCGCCGCACTCCTTCTCCGCCGTCTCCATGCTCCGGCCGGGAGGCGTCGGCGGCGGCGGCAGCGGGCGCGGGCAGGGGCGCGGGGCGCCAGCAGCCGAGGGAGCCGGGCGCGGCGGGCGCTCGCTCCGAGGCCGGGCCGGGCCTCCGCCTCCGGGGCGGCGCTCAGCGGCCGGCCGCGCGGCGCTCGGGGCTGGCGGGCCGCGGCGGGGCGGCGCGGGCCATGGCGCGGCGGGGCGGGCGGGCGGCGCGGGGGGCGGCGCGGGCAGCTGGCGGCGCGGCCTCGGCGCGGGGACTGGAGCGCCGGCGGTAATCCGAGCCGCCGCGGCTCCGGCGTCACGTGGGCGCGGCAGAGGGAGGACCGCGGCGGGGGTGGGGGGCGGGGGCTGTGGGAAAGGCCGGCCGGGCGCAGGCCCATTCAGCGCCGGAGCCCGGCTTTGAAATCCGAGCCCGGGCGCAGCCGGACTGGCCGGGCGAGCGGGGCCGGCGGGCTCGGGCGCCGCTGCGGGCCGGGGGCGGTGCTGGGGCGGGGCCCGCGGGGCTTCCTGGCGGGTGGAGCCCGGGAGTGGGGTGTCTGCCCCTACCCCCGGGAAGGGGCTCGGCACCCCATTCCAGCCTGTGGTCTCGGGCGGGGGTCTTCAGGCGCTTTTAGGGATCGGACGGTGGGCTGGATTCCTCTGGGGGCGTCCCGCGGGCGCAATACACGACACACAGCGGGGGGAGGGGGTGTGGGGTGTCGCCCGCTTTGGGACGTTCCATCCCAGGCAATGATGAGTCCGCACGGTCCTCCAAAAGCTCTTTGGCTGCTTTTTCAAGCGGGGCCGAAGCCACTCGCATTGGGGGGTAAGGGAGGGGGCAGGATGAGCTTTTGGGGTGTCGTGACCGGGTCGGGGCAACCTGCTTACTCGGCAGCGGGAGCCGGTGTCAGACCAGCGGGGCAAAGGTGGGCTACCGGCCCCAGTCCCCGACGCCTGGGCGCACGTGTTTGGGGACGCACGCAGTGTTCACGTGGACGACGGGCGGCGAGTACTGCCCTTCGTCCTGGAGACTCCAGGCGGGGAAACCCACCCTCCCTGAGAGGCACAAACTCATTCTCCCCCACCCCAGGCGCCTTCATGAGAACCACCTGGGTGCTCATTAGGCCACTCAAAGGCTGCCCAGAGCTGGAGTCTGGTGGACTCAGGCCCACGCGTGGCTACTGTGGCTTATTTAGCCAAATCAAGGTGGGCACCTGAGATGCTTCCTCAGTCCCTGCCCTTCCATTTCCAGCGATGTGCAGCCTGTAGGGCATGCCCTTTCATTCAGAAACTCAAGGTTTGGTTCCCCTGTTCAAAGGGGACGTGGCTGCATTCCCCAGGGAAATCTGGGTGGAAAAGTCAGGTGCCTGGGAAAGTAGGGTTCAGGGTTTCAGGCCAGGCCAGTGCTTGGTGGTCTCCAGGAAGGGGCGGGTCCCAGTGGTGAGAGTGGGACCCAGAAGACACCCATCAGGGAACCGTCAGGTGACCAGCCTCCAGGTGTAGCCAGCACTCCTTGGGGCAACATGGTCCTGGAGTAGCTGTGGGCATCAGGCAGGCAGAGAGCCGGTGCCAGTGGGAAGGAGCAAGCATGTGCGGCTGAGAGTTTCCAGTCATTTCTTTATTGGGGCAGGGGGTGTGTCATTGATACGGACTTCCGGGCTGGTCCCTGTCTGCAGACAGGTACACATACTCCAGTGTGTGCACACATAGCACGAGGCCAGAGCTCTGGCGGGCTGGAGAGGTCAAGCTCTTTTACAAGAGGATGTTAGAAAGAGACTGGTCCCAGAGAATGGGTGGTGTCTGAGGCTTCGGCCGCACCCCGGTGGGAAGCCGGCTGCCTGAGCACCAGGGTGCAGCTGCCAGCAATGGGGGCCCAGAGGGCTGGGCTGTGTGAGGAGTCTGGGTGGCCAGCCTCTGTGCCCCTACCCCGAGCTGGTGGCCAGGCCCAGCCCTGCCCTTGAGGCAGGTGTTTGAGCTCCTCAGGGAGGGGGCCCGAAGACCCTGAATGCTCCATGGGGCCACTCCTTGGGCCCTTCTCCATGCCAGGACCGTCAGAGGACAACCCTCCGGTCCAAGTGATCCCCACGCCCACTCCGCTGGTGCCTAACTTCCAGGTGCTTCTTCTGGACCTTCTCAAAGTGCTGCAGCAGCTCTGCGTAGTCGATGCTGGGGGAATCCGCTTTCTGCGCCTTCGGGGCTGCTTGTGAACTGTCTCTGGGGAAGAAGAAGGGCTCAGCATCAGTCTCAGCAAGCCAGGGAGGGAGCTGGGGGCCAGGTGGCACCGGGCATAGGAGGGCCGGGGTCAGGGCAGGGCCACAGGCTCACGGACCTCAACCTTGGGGAGTACGTCTTCCTCAAGCCCGGGATCCCTTGCCCAACCATCAGCCCCAAGGCAGGGGAGCCCCGTGAACATCCCCTCCCCCTCAAGTGCTGGGACCAGTCAACAGTGCTGCTTGGATATGGTCTTCAGTCTGTGGGCTGGCAATGGGGCCCAGAGCAGGCATCGCATCGGGAAGCATTTCCTGTTTACGACTGGCTCCCTTTGGGGTGAAAGCCAGGGCTAGCAGCCAGCCAGGAAGCCAGCTGGGGCCTGGAACAGGGTCCAGGGAGAAGGGGGAGGAGGCAGCCTGGCCCTTTCTCTGGGGCAGGACTAGGCCTGCAGACAACAAGGATTGTCTACTGCTGAAGAGACTCTACTGGGCCTTTTGCTTGGCAGGACATCGATTTTTGAGTGTTGAGGTCCAAAGGCCTGTGGTCATTTTCTGTCCCTGAGGGAGAAGAGCTGGTTTCACCACCGGGCATGCTGGCGGTTCCTACAACTCCTATTGTTACCATCCCCTCCCCCTGCTCTGTACGGTTGCACAGGTCGTGCAGAGCGCAGCTACAATGTGCCTGATGCTCCCTAGGGTCGTGCAGGGTAATAGCCCTGTTCAGCTTGTCCCAGGGACTAGATCCCCTGGGGCCCTGCCCTGTTTATAAGCACCCCTCCAGAGAATCTCCTGGAAGTCTGCTTCTCTCTCAACTGAGCCTCCCTGGCTTAGGAAACAGATCTGTGTGGGCTGGAAAAATATTTGCTTCTATCCCCTGAAGCCTGGTGGCCCTAGTAAGGGGGGAGTCTCATGAAGGCTGTGGGCTGTTCATGAGAATCCTTGTGCCCCCTGAGTTCATGGACAGACCCCGATATTGAGGCACAAGAACTGAGCACACAAGCTAGATAAGCCGGGATCCAACTGGAATACGACCACTTCCTAACCACTGGACCTTGGACCCATGGCTCAGTTTCCTCCTCTGCAAAGGGGGACGGCCAAAGAAGCCACTCCATGGGGTAGGTGTGAGGGTTCCCTCAGATTCGACACCGAAGAGCTTGGCCTGGTGCCCAGCCCCAGCTTGATGGGCGGCCACCGTGGCTACAACCCTGGTCCTCTGAGGCGAGGCCAGCCAGGGCCCAGCAGCTCAAGGCCGCCTGTATATCTGCGGCTCAGTCCACTTGGGGGGAAAACGATGGCACTTCACCCAAAGGAAACCCTCCCCAATAAGCTTGGCCCGACAGGCCTCTCCGACCACTCACCTGGCTGCTGAGGCAGGACCAGGGGCGGTGGGAACCTTTCCCATGGTTAGGATGGGGCTGGAGCTTGGAGGTGGCCCCCTACCTACTCAGTGTGTTCCCCTCCTGCTGAAGGCACCCTAGACAGTGGCGTGGCCCCCGCTTTCCTGGGCCTCAGGCAACATCGGTTCAACAAAGACCAGCAGGAGCCGCGTGGCTCTGGTGGGGGCAGGCTGCGGGCAGCATTCTGAACTCCAGCTCCTGTATTCAGCTCCCCTGGGAATGGGGAAGAGGCTCCCTGTCACAGTAGCTCTGCGGTCCCGGTGCCACCGCCCTGAGAGAATAACCTGGGCTTCTGGGGAAGCCGAGGGACACCCTGCGGCTTAGAGCTCTCGCTAGGGAGTGGCCAGGCGCAGCCCCAGCCCCGAAGGCAGAGATGTGGGAGACCCGTGGGCCTGGGAACATGTGCCCAGACGGGACACTGCAGTACGTGCCTAGGCGTCCGTGAGTCTGTATACCGCTCCCCTCGACACTAATGGCAAGCCCAGGCGTCAGGTCCAGAGGTAGGACTGAGATTAGGGGTTTCCAGCAGTGGCAGCCAATCCGGGGGATCTGCCCAGAGGTGGCTGGGGCAGCATGTGGGGGTGGGGAGGAGTGGGCCACACCTTGTGCTCCCTGGGCCCTCGGTGACTCGGCCTCCCTCCCTGGACCCCTCCTGGCCTGAGGTCTTCAGTGGGGGGAGGGGAAGTGGGGAGGAATGTGTCCCATGAGGGTAGGGTAGGTCTCCTCTGAGCATGTGGGCCAAGGCTCCTCTCCCTGCCTGTCACAGTGGGCACGGCTGCTGCGCAAGCCCTTCCTGCTCTGTTGACAACACCCCGCGGGCAGTCAGTGGCTGGGCGACACCCCACCAGCAGCGGAGATGGGATTCCAGAACCCAAAGCTGGCCCTCTCTCCTGCCACCCCCACCCATGCACCTGTGACCAGCTTTTTGCTTCAGAGGTTCCCTCCTGCGTCGCTGAGATGGTTTCTGGGGAGTGGCCTGGAAGCCTGAGCGTGGCCAGGGTCTCCGAGCCCTGCTGGCGCCTCGAACACACAGAATGAGGGATGGGGGAGGGGTGCAGAACCCCCCGCCCCCAGCTGTTCCTGGCTTGCGGGCCTGTCAGGCAACCCAAAGCTGTCTTCCAGCTGCCTGCCCCTCCCAGGGCTGAGACTGTCCCTGTCTCCCTCTCCTGGGTGTGAGCTGTTCCTCTGTGCCCAACCCTGCAATCTGACCCCTCCCCCAGCTGTTCTTGGGGCCCCCTCCCCGCCCAGTGCCTCCTTGCGCGTATCTGTGCCAACTCTTCCAGGGTCCCTGCGAAGAAAGGCTGGGCCGAGCCTCAAGCATCCATTTAACCCAAATGCTCATTTACTAATGAAGAAACCGAGAACCAAGAGACGGATCTGAGGTCACACAGCAAATCTTGAGCAGAGCTGGGATCAGATCCTAGTCCAGGGGGCACCTGGGTGGCTCAGTGGGTTAAAGCCTCTGCCTTCGGCTCAGGT